TAATCTTAACCCCAGCCCTAACCCAAACCCTAATCCTAAACCTAACCGTAACCCTAACATTAATCTAACCCTAATCTTTACCCCAGACCTAACCCAAACCCAAATCCTAAACTTAACCCTAACATTAACTCTGGCCCTAATCTTAACCCTAGCCCTAACCCAAACCCCAATCCTAAACATAACCCTAACATTAATTCTGGCTCTAATCTTAACCCCGGACCCAACCCACACCCTAATTCTAAACCTAACCCTAACCCTAATACTCACCCTACTTGCAGCTCTAACCTGATCCTTAACCCTAGCTCTAACCCTAACCTTCAGTAATCCTATCCCCAACCCTAACCCAAAACCAAACCCTAACCCTAACTCTAATCCTAGCCCTAACCCCAAACATTAACCTAACCCTAAACCTAAATTTAACCCAATCCCTAACACTAAACCTAACCTCAACCCTAAACCTAAAACTTGCCCTAAACCTAAACCTAACCCTAACCCTAATTCAAACCTTAATCCCAACCATAACCCAATCCCTAACCCTAAACCTAAACTTAACCTGAGTCTTAACCCTCAACTAAATTCAATCCCTAACCCTAATCTAAACCTGAACCTAACCTAAATCCTGAGCCTTACCCTAACCCTAACTTTATCCAATCCCGAGCCTAATCCTTACCCTAACATTAACTTTATCCTTAATCCAATCTCTAACCCTAACCTTTACCCAATCCCTAACCTTTACCCTAACTTTAAACAAATTCCTAATCCTAAACCTAACGTGAACCCTAACTCTAGCCCTCATCCTAATCGTTAGTCATAACTCTAAATGTAACTTATGTCTAAATGTAATTTATACATAACACCATACCCCTAACCTTTTCCTAATGCCTAGCCTTAACCCTAACCTTAAACTTTACCCTAAATCCAAACCTCACCTCACTCTAGCCTTAATCCAATCCCAACCCTACTCCTAACCCTAAACCAAAATCTAAATCAAAGTCTAATGTTCAACCCAGTTGCAGTGAAGAAACGGTATGTAATAAACACAGACAGTGATATTAAGGAGATAAAGTTACAATGATGGTCACTCATATCCCATAAATGAATTCAAACAAAAGACATCCGAAATTTACCCCTAATCTAAACTCAATCCCTAATCCTTACTCTAAACCTAAACTTAATCTTAACCCTAAACTTTACCTTAACCTTAACCTTAATCCAATCCCTAACCCTAGCGCTAATCCTAACCCTAACCTTAACCTTATCCTTAATCCAATCCATAACCCTGAACCCATCCAGACTCTAACCCTCTCTCCTGAAAACAGTTTGTAACTGAGACGTTCCCTCACCGTAACAAAATTATCCATAACAAAATTATCAATTCATTGGAAGCAGCTCAGAGAAGGTTCATCAGGATGATCCCTGATATGGAGGGATTGTTTTATGAGCAAAGGTTAAACAGATTGGGACTCTACTCACTGGAATTTAGAAGAATGAGAGGGGATCTGATTAAGACATACAGGATTCTTAAGGGGCTTGACAGGGTCAACATTGAGGAGGATGTTCCCCCCCTCCCCACCATGGGAGGGTCTGGGTCCAGAGGGCACAGTCTCAGAATAAAGGGGCACCAATTTAAGACTGAAATGAGGAGGAATTTCTTCTCTCAGAGCTTGAGAGTCTTTGGAACTCCTTACCACAGAGAGCTGTGGGGGCAGAGTCGTTGTGGATATTTAAGGCTGAGAGAGAGAGAGAGATTCTGTTCTGAAGAAGGGTTCCTGAACCTGAAACATTTGCTGTGGACCAGACCAGAGCCCCTCAAAATATTTTAAGGTAGCCTAGACCCTAATGTTTTCTTACTTTTAGGGCAAATGTGAGGTTCCATGTTCCAGATGCAATATGACTGGTCAAGCTACTTGACATTAAATAAAACACTATTATCACACTGTTGTTAAAATACAAGCAAAAGAATAAGGAATTTAGAATAATTTAACTCTATTGGAACTTAATCGAAAAATAGACATAGTAACTATTACTAATTAACTGTTCCAATATCGTAACATCTCACAAACCCACCGCTTGGCAAAAAGACAAATTCAGGAAAACAGATTTTGTCTCTCATGTGATCCAGTAGGCCAGGAAGAGAGCCCCCAGCTTTTGATTGTAATTGAGAGGGGGAAAAAAATAGCTCCCACTTATTCAAGTCTACAACAGCAACTGCTTAAAGCTAAACTAAAAACTAAAAAGAAACCATAAATCCTGTTCTGTGACAGTTGGACACCCAGCCTGGCTGCTTCTATTGTTCCAACTTGTACTCTCGTGGTTCCGGTGGACTGCTTGACATTTCTGCCTTACAACCTCTCTTCAAATAAATAACACCAGGACAAAATAACTTCTTAAAGCCACATCATCATCACACTCTGCTTTCTCTCTCTCCACAGATACCATCAGCTTTTGCAGCAATTCCTGCTTTTGTTTCTGATTTCCAGACGGATTCCTGATCAGTGGAGGGTCACATGGAAATGGCAGGAAAGCAATGAGGAATGCTGGCTCAGCCATGCAGAGCAGGCTCGGGGAGGTGGGGGAGCAAATGGCCTAATCCTGCTTCAATTTCTTAAGTTCCAACGCTCTAAAATCCCTGTGACACATCCCCCACTGTAACGTCCTGTCTATAACGTAATATTCACTGGCTGCGCAAATCTCTGGCCCTGACGCTGTTGTTCCTGAGGTTGCTGTGGCCTTTCATTTGCATAGCATCCAGAAGGTATCAGCCTTTCTAAAGACAGCAATCTCCTGAATCTCACACCGACACGTAAATTAATTCCACAGCACCCGGCAGAGCTTAATAACCGGTAAACGATCATTTATGCCAAAGTGGATTCTAATTTTTTCTGATAATCAAGGTTCCTGTTCTGAAAGATAGCAGATTAGCACTATTTTTAGAATTCCCAGAGAGCTGCAATTAAAACTGATTAAAGATTCGACAATTATCACCTTGATCAAAAGTGAGTTTTCAACTTGCAAATATTGAATTTCTAGTAAAGCACAGGGTCCACAAGGTAAATGCTTTGTACCACAGAGACACGTGGAAGATTTAACACCGTACCCCTTTAATTGCTTTCCGTTAGCACTCAGAATTATACTCCAGGGATATGGATCCCTGAGTTTTCACAGCCCATTGATTCTGATTTCCAGCTTCTCAGTTCTCTCTGTGATCTCTGTTCCTCTGTCATTTTATGACATAATGGGTTCTCTCTAACATCCACACTTCTCCGCCCTCCCTGTCTGGTCCCTCTCTCTCTGGTGCTTCTACATTGTTTATTTCCAGAACCACTCCTCTGCTTTCTCTCTCTTTGTCCATCCCTTCTCTCTTTCTTTCTCTCTGTGATTCCTCAATCTCTGCACTTCTCCATTGTTTGGCCTCTCTCTCTCTCTGTTTTCTCTATTAGTCTCTGCTTCCTTTGTCTTCATCCCAGTCTGCCCGCTCTGTGACACCTATCTCTCCCTCTGTTCTCACTGCTTGTTCTCTCACTCTTTCTCTCCCTCTCTATCTTTGGTTTCAACATCTCTCTCTGCTTCCTTTATCTCCAAAACCAGCCTGCTCTCACTCTGTCCATTCCTTCGCGCGCTCTCTCTCTTTGTGATTCCACAATCTCTGTGCTTTATCTCTGCACTCCTCCACGCTCTCGACCTGGCCCCACTTTCCCTATCTCTGGGTTCTGTATCTATCTCTGTTTCCCTTATCTCCAAACCCAGCCTCCTCTCTCTCTGTCCATCACTTCTCTCTCACTCTCTTTCTCTCTCTCTCTGTCTCTCCGTCTCTTTCTCTCTCTCCCTCTCTCTCTCACCGTTTCTCTTTCTCTCTCTTTGTCTCTCCGTTTCTCTCTCTCTGTATCTCTCTCTCTGTCTCTCCGTTTCTCTCTCTCTTCGTCTCTGTCTCTCTCTCTCTCTCTCCGTCTCTACTTCTCTGCCGCTCCCTGTCTCTCTCTCTCACCCTCTCTCTCTCTGTCTCTTCCTTTCTCTCTCTGCCTCTCCCTTTCTCTCTGCCTCTCTCTCTCTGTGTCTCTCTCTCCCTCTTTCTCCGTCTCATTCTCTCTCTCTCTATCTCTCTGTTTCTCTCTCTCTCCTGGTTTCTCATTCTCTGTGCTGCCTTTATCTTCAGAACCCAGTCTGTTCTCTCTGCTGCCTTGGTCTCCTCCATTCTCTCTGCTAATTCACTCTCTCTCTCTCTCTCTGTATCTCTGCTTTGCCTCCCCATGCCGTCTTCCCATCCCCTACCTTAAATGAGAGAAGACCAGTGATCCAGATGCCTGGGTTAATGCCCTGAGGGTAGGGAATGGGCATGTTTTCATATTCCCCTAGTGTGGCTGGTGGTGAGTGAACACAACTCATAAAAAAAATCTGGTTTTGAGAGAAAGCTACAATGATGATGGCCATGGCGATTGCTGTAGATCTGAGTTGACAATGGTGTCTGGTTCATGACCAGACATCAGGGAGGGGGAAATCTGCCGTCTGTAGTCAGTCTGGGCCTACACGTGACTCCAGACCCCCATAGTGACGGTGGGGGTGCGTTGAAAGCGCTCACCAAAATGTCCGAGCGAGGCACATTTTTCCATTGAAAAGGCGGGCAACAAATTGTTACCTTTCTGGCGGCACCCATACCCCTCCCCCGGGAAAGAGCAAAGGGAGGTTTGGATCTGAACAGGAGTAGGTCCTGGATTCTGCAACGTTCAACAATATCTTTTGCTTCACCACATCTCCTCCGGGCCCTGGATTCCCAAAGATCTACCCAGCTTGGTCCAGAACCGATTTCGCAACGGATGCTCCCTGGGCGTGT